TAACAATTAAAGAATGGTTTCTTAAAATAAGCTGGGTTAACAATTAAAGAATGGTTCCTTAAGGTAAACTGGGTTAACAATTAAAGAATGGTTCCTTAAGATTAGCTGGGTTAACAATTAAAGAATGTTTGCTTAAGGTAAACTGGGTTAAAAATTAAAGAATGGTTCCTTAAGGTAAACTGGGTTAACAATTAAAGAATGGTTCCTTAAGGTAAACTGGGTTAACAATTAAAGAATGATTCCTTAATAATTCCTAAACTCCCTTTTGAAATTCAAAATTATAGTGCCATATTCATCATGAGTAATTTTAGTTTCGAATAGGCTTGGTACTGTATGACTGACGCTGCTTATCTTTATACTTGGTAATATCAGGTTTCTTCACATGATAAAGACAGTAAAACTAAAAATATATACGTTTTCAGATTATCAAAAGGCGTTAATACTTTTAACTTCGTGGATGTTTACTTGTATTACTGTAGAAGCACGAATTAAGCTATTGACAGTTTGAACATTATATATAGTGTTTCGACAGCACGTGCTAACGACAGACAAGATATCACGTTTGATTTGTTGCGAACCCTGTAATACGACGCAGAAAATCCGAGACTAATAACATCGTCTAGATATGATATACTAAGAAGAAAATTGGCTAATTCTTTAAGCTTTTTTTTTTCCTCTTGTTCGCAGGTTCAAAAGTATAAAAGTAAGTTTTCTGGCTAATTTAAAGGGTTGCGTTTTCATACATTTTGAGTGGCTGCTATGGAAAAACCTGATAGTTGTGTGAACTAGTTTGCTTGTGAAAAGTGGTTGTTAAATTGTGCCACCATCATACTTCTTAATCACTAAAATTTCTACAAAAATGTAACATGGTGTAATTACAATCTAAAGTAAAGTGAGTTTCAGCTCACAAGTACAGTTAATTTATAGTTTAACAGTGATCCATATATATTTCTCTGAACTATTTTTAAATTATCCCCAAATTCATCTTTGATCATGAAGTATGAACGAGTTCCTGAAAACAAATAAACTACTAGAGTGTCATAAGTTAGGGCTGTTTTGATCCCCATAGGAGTGAGTAATTAGTATTCTAGGGTGTTTAATGCTAGAGTGATCTTCTAAGTAATACTTGTTTAAGTATCTATGACATGATCAACTGTATACTGGCATGAAGTAATTAGCATCATAAAACACTTCTAAAAGATGAAATTGGCTTAGATACCTTCGAGTTTGTACAATGTTCTTTAATTTCACAGCTGAATTCCTTGATTATCGATGTAATAGTTAGCACTTCGGGCTGAGGATCGAAGGATCCGGGGTTCTAGACGTGATAGCGTTGAACACGTCCCGCAATTTCAGCTGTGGGCGCGTTATAAAAGTGACAGCCAATCCCTTTATTCCGTTCAAAGAACTAAATAAGACTCTTGTGGTGGCGGGTACTCCTGGATGTCGTATTATCTTTCTGGTCAGTATTTCAGAGCTAGGGACGGCTATGTCTAAACCCCATGGGTATCTTACCTGGTCGTTTATCCCACGTGCACAAAAGGTGTCGTACAGGTTGAAATTCATGACGTAGATTGTTTATGTAAATACTACATCCGTTCATGAAATCAAACATTTTGTTTGCATCTTTTATGTAATTGAAGAGAATTGTGCAAATTCTGTAGTTGCCTAAATCAGTTTTATGTTATAAGTTGAACGTGTCTTCTTACAGTCAATCATTTTCTTACTTTAAGTTCAACGGACTATAAGAGCTGATGTTCAAATTATCTTGGATAAACCTGACGTGAACAACTGAGATAAATGTAGTTGTAGAAAAACTAACAAAACTGTTGATGCACAGAGAAGGATATGAAGATCTTATATTCGATGTCGGGAGAGAAGGTATGAGTTTGAAAAATCAATAGAATACCACGAGTGAAGTAATATATATATATGCTAGTTTTATTTATAACGAACCGAAGTTTCATACTATATTAGTTGTTTCTTACACGCAGTTTAAAGTTTCGGTCGTGCGAAATGGCCATTGAATGGACAATATATGTTTAATAAATTTCTTCTTTAGAAACCAAAATGTGTTCAGTGTTAGTTTAGCTCTGTTTTAATTATACATGCACATCCGAAGTGTCATTAAAAAGAGTCCCTAAAAATGTGACTGTGCGAACTAATTCGTCTCCACTATTAAGAGAACATTTATGTCTGCAAGATTTACTGTTTCCTTACTAAGAAAAGAAAACATAGAAAGGCTAACACCTCATTAAAAAGCTTGAAGTGAGCCTAATGTCAGTCAAACCTTCTAGCATCAACAATGGGTTGTCCTCCCTTTTTTTCTCGGGCCTGGCATGGCCAGTTAGTTAGGGCGCTCGACTCGCAATCTGCGGCTAGCGGGTTCGAATCCCCATCCCACCAAACATACTCGCCCTTTCATACGCAGGGGCGTTATAATGTGACGGTCAATTCCACTATTCGTTGGTAAAAGAGTATCCCAACAGTTCGGGATAATAAATGCTAAATTAGGGACGTCTACCACAGATATCCCTCGTGGAGCTTTACGCGAAATTCAAAACCAAACCTTTTTTGTTCGGACATTGTGTTTTATTACTTTTGTTTAAATCAAAATTTAGGCCTATGGATAAGACTTGATTAACTATTTTTGCTTTAAATTAGTCCACGATTACTGATAAAGGGGTAGGGGTGGTAACCCTAAGGATGGTTTAATGTAAATGATAATTGGGCTGAAATAAAAGATAGGTCAAGTCTTTTAAAATATTTTCATCGCCAGAAAAAAGAAAACTGTATGTTATCATTTTAGTTGTTGATGTTCTCATTCAGTAAAATGACAAGACAAAGAAGTGGATAAACTCAGTGAAGGGACGAGTTATATATATGTTATCTTATTCTAATCTCTCAGAATTTACCAGCTAAGAGATAAAAAATGAGATGGATTATCTGGGGGGAAGGAACGAACTTTATATGTTCCGTTACCCTAATCTCTCAGAATATACCACTTTTACAGAGTAGACAATGAAACGGATAATTTCAGCAAAAAACAAACTGCTTATGTTCCGTTGCTTCAATCATATAGATTATAAACAGATTAAAAAGTGAGGCAGATAATCTCACCAAGAAGGAATTTTATATATGCTGTTAATCTGTTTGACAGAGTGGCTGCAGTACTCGTCCATGGTGTTTGTTGAAAGGCAACTTTTAATATGTTGTTAACAAAAAGTCCTGATACAACTAGAAAGATAAAAAAGGATCCCATCACTCTTGTTAGCTGGAGAAATGTTTCTCTTCATATTCATTCATAAATCTTTATGGCACCGCTAAATACGATTGCAGCTGAAATAGGAAAGATAGTTGTGACCGTTATTTTTTTTTTCATTTAAAATTAGTGCTGGAATGTCTACTTTCGTGAAAACCAAAACCCGTTTAGTTCGCCTTGACAGTTTTATATCTACAGATTCTGTTTTAAATAAGGCCTGTACCAAGTATAAGTCATTCAGAATTTTTGAACTAAGTGTTACTACATTATCATATATAAAGTTTAAATAGTAGCAACGTTATGCCTTTCTGACGACCTTATTTGTATTAATTGGGGAAAGTAAGATGACCCTTCTGTTATATTAAATACAAGCAAAAGTACCCGTCCCCAGTGACGGGAAAAGTTTAAGTTACTCTATCAGTTTAAGTTATTTCATGGACTTTTAAAAGGCCAATTGTGTCGCACTATTGGTTTCATTCAGAGCCAAAGCTCCGAGCTACTTATACTGCCCACAGAGAAATGTAATTGTTGAACATTTCATTCATGCTAAGAGCCGCTCAACAATAACATACGGTAAATCTACATTTTTATTCTTTAAGTTATGTCACACTTTGGAATGTGAATGCTAGTGTGATTAATTCCTAACAATTTAGTGTAAAATATATTGCTTGCAAAATATAATTTGGCATAAACATTATTCATGCCTGTTCTTCCGTCATTTAAAAAGTGAATGTTTAGCTTTACCTGCGTGCGCAGCTTTTCCAACGGGAGACAGACGAATGCTCGAACAGACACCACGGTTCGCAATATATATAAGATAGTCGAAGTTTACTTGTGTATAATAGTTTAACAGAAATTACGTGTAATATGAAAAATATGTAAAGGTCAGCATCATATACTACATATAGCATTTGAATGACGCCTGATAAATCAAAAGAGTGTAAACAACATATAAATCTTGTCTTCTTAACCTTGCACAATTGCGATATGATTGCTGTTAATCAGTATTTTTTATTAAGAGATGCTGATATCCCTCAAATGTCCATTGTATTAGTGTTTCCAAGCAGGAGTTGGATGTGGTCTAGTGGTTAGTGTGTCCGAACTGTGAATGCGAGAGTTCATGGTTCGCGCCCCGTTGCCGCAACAAATTAAAAGCGCATTCCGCTTTAAGAGTGACCAGTATTCAGTCAGACAAACGTCGCCACCCGAGAATTTCCTAATGATTAGATTGCTAGATTGAAGGTTCATGGTTCGCGTTCTGTTGTCAAAAATTGTGTCCTTTAGGTCGTGGATTTGTTATAAAAGTGACGGTCAAGTTCTACTATGACCCAAAAGTTGGTGGTGGGTGCTGTTGTTAGCCTCATTCCATCTGTTGTATATCAGCTTAAAAATAAGGAAGACTATACGCAGATAGCCCTTGTATAACTTAGCGCGAAAATTGATGAACATCAGCATAAAAAGAAAAACAACAAACAATCATTTATGTTGAACTGGAGTTAAACTACACATTTTAAGTCGTATTCTGTAATATTTTCTATAAACTGTTTATTTTTCCTGTTGCAGAAGATCAGACATTTTTTGTTTAATAAAATATCATTTAACTTCGATGTTATCGAGTCATTTGTTTTTGTTCGTTTTTAATTTTCTTTGTTTTGAATAAATCGTAAAGTTTAAAAAATTGAGATGTATTTATTTAATGATAAGCGCATTTCAACTGTTTACCATCTTTTGAATATAGGAAAGCACTTCAAGAACACAAAGAGTCCACAGAAGATGGAGACACGAAAGCACTTAAAAGCACGCCAGATTGGAGCGTAAGTCAACATTACTCTTTCACTGTTAAGAAAACGTCAAAATAAAATCGTAATACGGGATAACACTTGAACGAGTGTACAAAATTCGAGTGTAAATGTACAAAAAAACAAACAAGCATATAAGAAGTCTCATTTGGCATATTCATCTATATTTCCTTTATTCTAATGTGATACTATGTTAATGATTAACGATATGTGTAACTTTATGGTATAATTTTCAATTAAACCTAAAAATATTCCCGCTCAGTATAGGTGCGTCAGCATCAGTACTTGCTTAACATTCATCAATAAACTGATTTTTGGAATAAAGTGTATTAGTTATTAGTGTAATAAGCATAAAGCATTAGTGAAGCACAACGTTTATGAAAAATAGTTAGTAAGTCATTAATCATGTATCATAAAACGATAATGAACTACAGAATATTTTTTTTTAGTATTAGAATGTTATGTTATTGAAGGTATAGCATAAAACAGACCAGAAACATAAATGTTTTGTCCAAAATTTAATGAGCAATTAAGAGGAATGTAAATCACGATATTTCTCAGACATAACACTATCATATGACAGTAAACACTGATTAATTTTTCTTCTGAAAATATAACCTAAATAAATGTTTTATGAATACGTTTTCTTAAATTTAATTGTATTATTGTAACAACGATGTATAAAGAATGTTTATCATTTTTTAGTATTTCACGAAAGCAACTTTTTTGTTTATACTTGGTCATCTTCTGTAAGTGACCCTTGATTAGAATATTGAGTTATATGTATTGTTATGTTCTGTTCAAATAACTTTCTTGATAAAGCCTTGTAGATTGAACCATGCCAAAAAACAGGTTCTCGAAGAAATATTCCTACATGGTTAAATGTCTAAATCTGCTACTCATTAATTGTTATGACAAAGCGAATTAATTTTGTGGTGAAGGGCAAATGCACAACTTTTCTTATAAAATGCTTATAAATTTTTTGACTGAGTTTTTAAAAATCTATTATCTAAGGTGAAAAACATCAATAATAATGTATTGTATCGCCATCTATTGGGTTGAAAATATATTTAAGTTGTATTTGACACATACAGTCACTAGTGTTTATTATCTAATATTATATTGTCCCTGATTTAATCTATTATTGTCCGAATATCTTTTTATAAATATGATTAGTATAAAAACCCGTCAAATATGACGGGAAACCATTGTTGAATGATTAGCTAAAATTATAAGATTTAACTAAAACAAATTTGTCTGTACCTCCAGAATGCACCCACTCTTCACTTATTTCATCAGTCTCGAAGTAATTCTTTAATCACCACATTTTTAGTAAAAACTACTCAGAAAAATGAAATGTTATCGTGAACAAAAGTACGTGTGCACTCTAAAAGATACTTAAATAGCACTCTTGAGCCTTTTTACGGTATTCCAGGTCAGGAAATAGAAAACACTGATTGATTAGTCATTTCATTAATACACAAATTTTCACTATGATAACATTCAGGAATCGACTAGCCTTATAAATAAAATCTACATCTTTCTCAGGTTCATGTCTTATATTGTACAGATGATTTGTTTTAAGCATCTTGATAATAGTATTGACACTGCTGCAGGTAATTAAACTGGACATACATTTTTGTGTGATTTAATTACAAGTTACAGCTTTTACAGTAAGGAAGGATATGTTTAAAAACAGGTGCAACGTTTCGATCACTGGTGCGATCATTCTCAAGTACACAAGTTTAAAGGGTAAAGAAGGTTTTAGTAAAACCTGTAATAAGATAATACTTATAAGTAAACTCATAATGAAACTATTAATCTTATATGATTGCTTGTCCCTTGTACTAAGAAATGCACTCATTATGGCTCCGATACTAGTGTAGTGATAACACCAACTAATTTATTGTAGATACTGTATATACGTCAGAGACTCCAACATATCAAGTTTAACATGTCACAGAAAATTTCTTTGCATATTCGAGTGAACCTAGTAGTTCTTAAGAACATGATTATTGTACTCCATACTGAATGAACTGGAACCTCGTAGTTCTTCAGAACATGAATAGTGTACCCCACACAGAATGAACTGGTGGTGTAATTGCTTTTCAAAGCATTTTTAACAATATTTGTGCCACTTGAAATTCTTACTTGTTGATTGACAAGTGAACTTCCGAAATCTACAAAGAATAAAATCTTAAGGATATCCGGACTTTATAAGCACACACATATACCATCAACGAGCATCAATAATATGACCAAAATTTCTCAAAGAAAATAATGTCCCCTCTTCCAGTGTCTAGATCCACCTCGTATTGCAATGAATACATTGGTTTCTACTGATTTTATGATAAGCTACACAACTAAATTGAATGGTCTAATGTTTATTCACTATAGGTGATCCTTCTGGACACGAGAGACAACTCTGAAGAGTCACTTTCAACACTTATTACACAGTAGGCTTCAATGAGGACATAGCAGGAGATAATATAGCTGATACTAAGGATCATACCAAGCCATGCATTTAGACTAGCACTCAGACTAAGGCTATCCTCCCACTCAGAAAATTAAGGTCTCGGATCTCACTTTCATTATCATTTTTTGTGTTTTCCTCAGATATCCATTGGTGACACTAGTACAGCTCCATAAACCATAATAGGTATTAAAGAGTTTGTTAAAGGTGCAATTTATTATTACAAAGCCTGGAAAAATCAGTGGTTTTTTTTATTTTGTTTGCAAAACTCGACCACTCTTCGTGCTTAGGTTCTCTCGAAATATGTTGAAACTTTTTATATGTTCACATTCGCAGTGCTTTAAGCCTAGAGCTGGTACTTCTTTGTCTCTAAAAAGTGCCACTAATCTTATCAATATATTAGCAGAGGAATTCCTACACACCAAAACTATATCTCTTCGACGAGGCACTATTCTTAATAAAGATTTCTGTAATAGTGGACCCCTGTTCATTCGGAAGATATAAACCTGATGGTTAACCACTCAGGGAATTCTACTTATCTACTTGGCTAAGATAAAAACTCTCTTTCTCTGCACCAGTTAGGAACAGTTAAGGAATGGTTGTTAAATATTTATACCTATGCCCCTTTAATTGGTTCAGTAACTGAAATAGAAAAGTAAGAAGCTCTCACTGTTCGTCTCAGGTTTTCAATAAATCAGTGTATTTTGACTTGCACTGGGACCTATAATATCTGAGCCCAGACAATTAGTCAACCTTGACACAGTAATGTATGCTTGAAATGTCTTGTTTGGGTCCCAGGAGCTGATCTTTTTCACCAGTGTATTTTGTGCGTAAATCCATAGTTTATAAACTCTCAGTAATGTGACTGTTGCACCTGCAAGAGCGTGAAAACTTCATTAAATATTAACTTTGTCCACTTGGCATTGTCTCCTATCTGATTTCCACAATCTCTCAAGGATGAAGATCAAGTTATTACTCCTGAAGGTAAATTTTTCTCTTTAATTTTAGTGGATAGTCCCCAAGATTATTTGGCGGCCACATTGACACTTCTTTCCTGCTTCTTTTTAGTTCTTCTGAAAGTTTGCAGAAACTATTCCAAAATAGAAGTAAAACCTGAACACTCGATGTAAAATATCTTATTAAAATAAAATCAAAGATATTAAACAAGCGCATCTTTATCTAAAATAGAAATTTAACTTACTGACATAAACAAAAGAACAGTTGTTATAACTGTACACATAAATGCAACTTCTTTCACTAAGTGAAGTCTGTTTCTTTCACAGAAACCACGCTGGTCTACCAGGGAGAAAGAAAGTATCGCTTACTTTTCTTGGTGCCTTTTTGAAAATAAAACTGCTTGTGTCATTCATGACATTAGAATAGTATTTTGGTAATAGGCTGGATGTCAAGATATTTAACTACATTTAGATAAATGATTGTGATTACATATTGGCCCGGAATGGGCAGGTGGTTAGGGCGCTCGACTCTCAATCTGAGGGCCGAGGGTTCGAATCCCCGTCCCACCAAATATGCTGGCCCTTTCAGCCGTGGGGGCGTTATAATGTGATGGTCAATCCCACTATTCGTTGGTAAAATAGTAGCTTAAGAATTGGTGGTGATGACTAGCTGCCTACCCTCTAGTCTTATACTGCTAAATTAGGGACGGCTAGCGCAGATAGCCCTCGTGTAGCTTTGCGCGAAATTCAAAAATAAACAAACAAGCTTACATATTAATATTTGTAAATTTCAACTGATAAACACAGAAAACGCTGAAATGATTAAGAAAACTTTCATCCAAATAACCCTCTGACTCCAAACTCAACTCCAACAAGATCCAATATCAAAGTTAGGCATTCAGTTTCGATTCCCCAATTCGTTTATATATACCAATAAACAGAAATAATAATGTTACTTTAAAAAACAGTACTTTTATTATTTGAGAAGTTTTCGTTGTTGAATTTTAGCCTTATAAGCCCTCAAGCTTACTACTGAGTAAGGACTGAAAAGGAAATACCTCTCGAGAGTTATTCTTCATGGGATTTCCACAAAAAAAAAGTTATTTTTTGTTTTTTGTTTACCTGTGCTCCGTATGTTAGATATTTCAGAATTCAAATAAACAGTATTCTAAGCCGTATTTGTGTACATAACATGCATATATATATTTATATAAGACTTCAAAGTATTTTATCATACGTGTGATTTCTAAACCTCGTTTTAAGCTTTAATTTACGATTAATTCTGTACCGCTAAGTAATCCACCAATTCCA